CATTTCAAATCGATCCGAATCAAGCCATACCGGAAGGGATTCACGTGGCACATATTCCGAACCGCATTCGGAACAAACGGAACATGCTGAAGTGGTGCGACAGAAACGTCTCGGGTTGCGTGATCTCCTCGGCTCGCATGTCTGTGTGTATCCCGAGTGCAAACAAGCTCAAACGGAATGGATGAATTTCGTCAGTGAAATATCCAACGAACAGGTAAGATATTATCAGATTAGGCCATTGTTTGGCAATCACGTTCCACAAAAGCATGTCCGTTATGCCACGTGTGTTGGCTTGTGACCGGTTGGTATTGAAATAGACTCAGAATTTCGCATTTGAAGTTTATGGTACTTATAAGTAGTAAGCACCATAATTCAAGGGAGCCATTCTTGCCTTATTCCTGGAGCGAATTGATCAGTACATTTTACAGTCTTGAAGTTCATAAATAAGTTCTGAATAACTCTGCTTTTTCTCTATAGCTTATCTCGATTTCGAAAGCCAACAATCTGTTTTGAACACATCCCTGGAAATACTAGTTGTGGTGGTATCCATAATCGTCCCACCAGAAACTTTGCAATGTATTGCACTTTGATTATGATTTCTATATGTCTAATGATTAGATTTCGATCAGAGGTATACAGAGTAGATAAAAAATAGTCAAATCTGGAAATATTTGATTATAGTAATCGAAAACCTGTGCTTTGTTCACCAGAATACGCGTTTAATTGTAGTGTATTGTATGATACGGTATTGTATTGAAACTTTAGCGAGTTATATACAAGCTTTCAGCCCTTATGAGGGCAATATCGAGTTACTATATGTTTTTGTGAGGAACATAACGGTTTCAGGATGGGAACGTCAGGAAATGAAATGTGCATGTAATGGATGTGTGGGATCCATTAGAATCTTGAGTGTAAACTTTTCTCATGTATTCAAATGATGTTCACACAGATTAACTATCAGCCCCTTCCAGCGCTATTGAAGTGATATGAATAATTATAATCAGCTCACTTCAAAGTAGCTTGAAGTCATTCTTTAAGGAATAAGAAAAGACAACAAGTCAAAGATGAAAAACTGGTACAAAATTTCTGAGCTAATCGACTGCTGAATTCGAAGCAGACGAATTTCACGGAAATGAAAAGCTTTCGAAGCTAATGACGCTATCATATGTGAGAGGTCCAGCGAAGATTGGCATAGATAAATCTCAAGGTATTTGATACCGCTTACCCGGGATACCGGTTCAGAGTTGATCAATACCGAATCAAATGGAAAATAAAAACGTGTTAGCGTAATGATTCATCTGAAACACTCAAAATGCCTACGAGTGAGACCAGAAGTAGCGAAAAATTGTTGCACATTGTCCAAGTTGTCAGAAAAGTGTAAAAGGTTAAAGGAATCGGAAATGGTCGGATTTGAAACCACATTGTTAATGTATTTGAACAAGGGATTTGGGATCATAGCAGACGGATTATTAATATAGGTAGAAAATTATTATGGGAAAAGTACTGCATCCTAGAGTACCCCGGAGTTGGTTTGAAGTTCATTCGACCTAACCTGATGCATTTAGTTCTCAAAGAGAAGCAATCAGTCGGTCAGGCTATTTTTCGCTTGCCACAAACGAAGTTCTCCAGTTTACGAAAAAGAATGGAACAAGGAAAAGAATCAAAAAGAATCAAAAATATGGTGCAGAAATGAACAATATACAGATTTCACAGAGTAATTCAATGACTTGGTAATTTTGTGCATAGGTGAGGGAGGTAGATCGTGTGTGCATCTGTTTGATTGAAAGTAAACTGAAGATGATCATCCGGTACGTCCAGAGAGAACTGGAATTTGTTGGAATGCAAAAGGAGGTTAGGCAATTGTTTAGAAACGATGCTAACATCTCAAACGAAAGAATTGGCTCCATATCATTTGAGGGAAGACCACGGGGACGTAATTTTGATGGTACGCAATACCTTGAAACTTTCTTCGTCTACTTGAACGTCATCATCACAATCAACCGGCCTGAGGGTGTAGTTAGATGGGTCATTTAGGGGCCCATTACCACTGTTCAAATTCGCTGCTCAATCCGGAGTTTTGGCTTTCGTCCCATAAAAGCAATTGGATACGTTTCCAAATGCATCTTCTGTGATTGCATTGTAGAAGCCTGGTGACGCACGACGCAGGTGGTCGGCAACTTCTGCTCTGATTAGGTTAGAATGATGCTTGACAAACGCTGAGTATTTAGATTTGTGCAATCGTTTCCTCCATTTCATGAATGGATTCAACAGTGGAGATGCTTTTCTACCTTTACCGAGAAATAGAGTTTCAAAAAGTCAGTATAGGTTAAAGAGGTTCTTAAGCGTTTTAGCGAATAAGCTGACTGCATCATGTAGAGAAGAAGAAAAACAGAACCACAAGGAAGCAACAATACGTGAATGCTAAAGAAGAAAATTCTTACTGAGGGATTGGTTGTGCAGGAGGACGACTTAAGTTCTGTCTGCTGACATAGGGGCATGCATAATAAGTTCCGTAAATATCTAAGTTATCGGGAACGTTCAGGAGAAGTTGGTAATAGTATGGTTTATTGTTTCCCAGGTTTTTTAAAGATCAGTAGATTTACTGAAATAACCAATCTAACTGCTCGGTGTGAATCAATTTATTCATTGTTGTTCAGACCCTTTGCAATGATATATTGCGTTCTCTTATTATCTTGTTCACAAACAAAAATGTGAATTTCAAACCAGTTCAACTTAGGAGTCAGTCATACCGTTGACGATATCAAGATAACAAAATCATACATGTTTTAGATATGACCTTTGATCACCCAAGTAAAATCAGATTCAGGCATACTCATAGATACTAACCTGGAGAATTTCCTTGGTTTTTGTTTAAACAGGTGACGCTTGTTGAGAAAATCCGTACCGTCTTTGTCGAACTGGTCCACTTTTATGCCCAACTGAAGAAAGAGTTAATCGAAACGCGTGGCCCCAATTCGAGACAGAGCGTAGAACAAGCGATCCGAGAGGCGACGCAACACAATTCTCACAGACGACCCACAACGAACTGGCATCGTAACACGGAACTGAGCGCCAAATATCGAGAGTTAATGACTCATGTGAATCGGCTTGCTGAATGTGACCTGCCTCAAATTAGGAAACTCCGGGATAAGGCCAGGTCATTAGAGGCGCTCTGGTATGGACAAAATTTATCCACAGATGATCTGAGGGATTCGGACGATAATCCAGTGGAAGAGCATGTATCTGGTTCACAGTTACACTCCACTGGGCATCGACCTAGTCGACCACAATCTCACGGTCAAAATGGAAAGCGCAATGAATCTCCGGAGGTTAATGGATTAGATGATGGTGACATCAATGTTTACACCCCGGAAGAAACACCGGATAATGATATTTCCAGTTTTATAGACAGTTCGGTCGAATCCACACCACAACATGCGAATGCAGGAAATTTGTCAATGCTCCATGGAATTGCTCGAAATCATTTTGAAAAGCTATTCGCAAATGAGGCGGACGAAGCCGATCAGGCTGAATTAAAGCACCAAATGCAAGAATATTCCAACTTAAATAATCCACGGACTCAGCCACGACCGGTGAACAGTGGAAGGCCTATTGATGCCATTACTGCAATGAATGAAGCACGCAAAGCACAGACAGAAAAATTAAATCGTTCCAGGCAAAAACGAGAAAGTCGGAAACGGAAAGGAAAGGCTCAAGTTGTCACCACTATTGAGAAATCCGGTATTGCGGAAGAAAAGCTCACCACGCGAGGTTCTTCGGCTCTCACGAAACCGCATTCATCTGAAACTGGTCATGACCAACTTGCAAACGAGAACTCATACAAAACGGCACCTGAAGTTGTAAATTTGGAACAGAATCCGGCAGAATCTCCTAAAGTTGGTACAAAAAATGGAGGTCCAATTATTTCGACAAGCCCGAAACAAAAGGTGAACTCTGATTCACGATGCGATGCATTGTTGCCAACCGAAACCGCGGAAGGGCTCAGTAACCAACAGACACCTATCCAACCACTCATTCCTTCACAGTTTTCAACACCTCCCTGCCATATAAACAACATTCCATTAGCTCAGTCATCTCCGAAGGAGCCCATATGGGTTCAACCTATTCGCATTCACGAGGGCGGTGTACCAATGAGTACCAGAGAACACGTACAGTTGGTTTGTCGCATTAACGATGCCATGGAAACATTGGAAGAACACGATCCAATTCAATTTGGGAGCATCAACCCCGATCGTGCAGCAGCCGAACTCCATTGTGCCCACGAGAAACATCTAATAACATCGAGGACTGTGATCTCGAATCCGGGAGGTAGTTCGCCAACAAGGGAAAAACAACCCCCTAACCCCAGTCACAATCCATCAGAATCTGTGAAGGAATCTGTGAGTTCCGCACAGTGGATCGATGAAACCGCTGATAATGATCCTAGTTGGATTACCGTGCAAAGAAAACCATCAAGAAACGCCAAGAAAAAGAAGAACGTATCGAAAAAGGGCAAGAAAACCAAGGTAAAGAGTTCTGAAAGCCAGGAACATGCCGAACAACAACGTCAAGAACAGCAAGATCAACAGCAACAGCAGCAACAACAGGAACCGGAAGATCAACCACAACTTCAACCGCAATCCAGTCGTGAACATATTCCATCCCAGCCAGCTGAAATAAAACCTACTCTACTCATCTGTGAACCAGGACCAGTTAAAACGAATGAAACCGACCTTGTTCACCGTAAGCTTGAAACGAAGTCCGTTGAAGAAACAACATTGGAGAAGTCCGTGATGAACAATGATCAATCGATGGGTAATGATAAATCAAGGGAATCTGACTTCGATCACATGCCAAATCGAACAACAGAATACACAGAAGCACAGAAGGTTAAACTGACTGATCCAAATCATGTTAGTGATGCTCCCTGCACTAATAAACTTGGGCCCAAACAATCAAACCAGTCGATCTCTCAGTCTCTTCCATTGGAAGTTCCCGAACATGATCTACCAAATCACCTTGAGCATGAGAGTCGTTCATTTTCTCCTGATGACTTACAACAAGCTTCGCATTCCAACGATCAATTATTGATGGAAACACCCATTCAGGATCTGCCATTTTCAAATCAATTAGACACCAAACTGGATTCACTTTCATGTCCCGAGGAAAACGAGTTATTGTCAAATCCATCTGAACATAAGAAAGTACACACTGAGATCCAGGACGGTGGTTTGTCACCCCCAGGTTCAAAGGATGTTTCGAAAACTCTGGAAAGGCCCCAGGCTGTGAATAGTCCTGAACCATCAACTCATCCAAACCTCGAAGAAACAACCATTCTACCGGTAACGACTGAAGTGAAAGGATTGAAAGTGAATTCATCTATTACTTTAGATTCTGACCAAAATGATCAATACGAAAGAGTTACTGTTCGAGAGAATCCATTACCACCTATTAGTTCTGACTGGAACTCAAACAAAACCGTAACCGAGCAAAATAATAATGATATGCATGGAGAAAAACTAGTAATACGAGAACTAGGACCTCCAAAGTCATTGCTACGTGTTATCGTTGAACAATGTCTCCCGTTGGGCTCAATCTCAGACGCAGACGCGGGTTATGTTCAGCCGACTGCGGAAACCGTTATCGGCAATAAAGATCACGGTGAGGTTTGTACCTTGGTAAGACCTGCGGAACCGGAAACGGGGAGTTCCCGTGGAACATGGACAAAAAAGCAATCTAAAAAGAAAACAAGGGTTANAAGGGTTAAGCAAGCAACAAGATCTGAGGAAGTGGGAATATCGGTGGACGTTCCGCAAAACGAACTGTCTGTGGACTCTCCGCCAAATTTTCATTCCTTATCAGATGCGGCAGATGCTGTTCCAGCTAGTAATCCTCAGGAGGTGAGGTCACAGTTTAAACCATCCGATTCAGAGACGGAACCCTTGGACAATAATCGGGAAAACAGAATAACCGAGCCGTATTCTACCCCGGAGAATCACGAAGGGGCTAATGACGGTGTTCACAATATGGATCACAGTTTTCTTTTCGCAAACGTTGTGCAACCTCAATCCGTACCATCTTCTGATTTGGCCAACATGTCAAATGCGTCTTTTATCTTGGAGACTCAAGATAAATTTATATCTCATACACATCTTTCCAAATCTGTGGATGCAGATAATGTTTCCTCTGGAACAAAAGCTTTAGATCATCCGCAAAACGATCCCGGTACACGACTCACGGAACAGTTGGCGAAACCTCAAGCGACCCAGCAATCACCAGCAGATGTGGAACGGGGGTCTTCTCCTGCGGAAGTTACCTCACATGAGGAATTCAGCTTTACAGCTCCGAACGCCATCTCAGGAGAACAGGGCCCAGCCTTGGACATGAGAGACAGGTTGACTGTTTACTCATCAGAAGTATCAGACAATGGAATTTTTAATGAGGAAACCGTTGAAGGCTATTCAGATGAACTCAATTCCGTCTATCCAGTTCCCATAGTAGGTGATTTGGCCGACTTAGGAGAGTGTAGTTGCACAGACAAATCAGATCATTCCCTAAGTTCAGAATCTCCGCTCCCACCTGATATACCACATTCAGTCGCACAACCTATTCCCAGGGATTCTGGTTCTCAGGAAACAGAAGAAGAGGATGAAGAGATGAGGATTCCTACACTTTTCGAAGAACTATCGATTTCTCCAAACGAAAGAACTATAGCCCAAGGTGACAACTATTTTGAACTAACAGATTTAGATAATCCCAGCCCGCTCATTTCACATCTCACCATCTCCACTGATCGGCGAGATCGCATTCGGTTGCATCCGATTTTAGAACAACCGTCTGATCAGTCCACGTACGAAGACGAGTACATCAATGGAGTGATAGACGATTCCCCACCAATTGAAACAACTAGACTGCCGGGTCAGAATGTGTCTTCGGAGGAGGCATCTCACAATTCTTCCGGCACGACAAACGACAGAAGAAAAATCGCGGACACAACCTCGACCATTTCCTACATCGGTAACCGTAAAATACGAAAAGCTCGACGTCGACTTCAGCCTGAACAAAAATCTATCTCAGCCAACTCGTCAGGTACCAAAAGTGAAAAACCTGTGACCGAGTATGCGTCGTTTGTCGAAAATCCGACTTGGTTGGGGCCTGATACAGATTCAAGTAAATCATCGAGCGCAGAAAAAGAAGGTTCATCCAGTCAAGTTTCGGATGGAGGATGCATCAAAACTGTCCTATCAGATAGATCAACAGCAAATGGAGCCCATCAAAATAACGCCATTGAAACCATTGCATATCCGACACCTCCATGTGTAAAAGATCTGGCTGAGCTCAGAACAGTAAATCATCCATTGTATCCAGTCGCAAACGAGCCCACCTCTGAAATTGTTATTGCATTTCTAAACATGGATGAAACAGAAACATTAACAACCGTGACTGATACTCCGAAGCAACGTATATCCTTAGCTGTTCACTCAGTAGTCAACAGTTTTATGATCGCTGCTTCTAGTGAACTACCGTCTATCAATGAACCAAATGAGCTCACCGAGGTTGACTTAAACTCGGACGAAACACCACAACACAGTGTTGCCACAAATGACCGAAGCAGACATTCAGGTCCCAGACCCGGTCGAAATGTAGAAAAAGCTGTTCGTTTTGTCAACGAGCATCCGGAAGAAGCGAGAAACCTAACACCAACCAATGACGTGTCGGAAACGCTTGGAAAACATTTGGCTGCTGACACTTCAACGAAAGCTTCTTCTACCCCGACGGAAACGTCCGCGCAAACAAACACTTCCGACATAAATTCACAATCAGCCACGAAAGAACTAAATATCCGGGAAGCCACCAAACAGCAAATAAAACAAATTTCTGAACCAACGGATTCCCAGACGAAATCCACAGATCAGAAGGAAGGTGAAAGCCTAAGCGGAACAAATTCGAACATAGCAAACTCGAATTCCATGTTGGCCACCTCTTCCCTCCTACTTCCTTTACCCACTTCCGCTTCGGCTCTTTCATCTACTCTGACTGTCCTGCCTTCTCCTCCTACTACTACTAACCAACCTAAATCCAAAAATGAAAGTCAAAGAAAACCAATTCTTAAGAGACAGACAGATTCACATGGAACACCGCCCTCTACCAGGAGCTGTTCAACACAGACAGTAGCAAAAGACAGTCTGTCAGGAGCGGTTATTTCCGTCAAGGTTCAGACGATGGGGAATAAAGGAAAAACTGACGACGAGGAGCAGCAATCCCGTGGTTCGCCACCACCAGCACCACCAGCTGGTGATCGCGATACACGAACAACCCGTGCCGTTCGATACAATGAAATTCACAGAGCAATCCAAACCGAACCGTGCCAAATTCGAGATAGCCAGTGGACAGCTCTCTCTGGCGCTTACAGTTGTAGGCAAGAGATGAAGGAAGAGGAGCGGTTTGATTTCATTACTGGCGGTGGGAATCGACAGATATCGCATGTGAGTTCAACTATTTCCGTGTTTCGTATCATCTCTAATTTTGAGCTCTGTTTCGCATGTAGAATGCACACACACACACACACACACACACACACACACACACACACATACCTATTGCTCTCTGTGGTTTTGAGTTGTTCACTTGTCCGATAATTCACTGCTGTCCCCTACCATCCGCCTTTCGGAGTCGAAGAAAATCATAAACAAGTTTATCAAGGCAACCACGGATTGAGTGCCATACTACACGGTTAGTAGACAGCGAAGGCTTGATGTTGAGAATATGTGAATTTGTCGTTGTATTAATGAAGGGAGGTTAGACAGCCCAAAGGGAGTTCAACATTATGTCATTGTTTGGAGGCATGATCAACAGAACAAAAGATTAACTAACATTTTAAAATAATGTTGACATCTATTCGCGCTCATCCAGGCTTGTAAATTTCAGGGCTAATCTCTTCTGTTCCGAATCGTTTGGTGAATGTGTTAAATCCAGATCTGCGAAGGAACAAGTGGGGAACTGATAAGGCGATTTCTGGTGTTCATTTAGGAAGCCCCAGGCTGCCTTGATTAAAGAAACCAATTCATCTGTATATCAACGATAATCTGTTTTTTATGTATCGATGTTTTTTAAACAGAGCGAGGAACTTACCGATTTCCGTGCTAGAATTGGTTCAGAAAGGAGCATCTCCTTCTGGAGTGATGCATGGGTGTTCATCGAGATACTATCATTATTTTGTTTGAGGTCCTTGTCAACCACCATTCGCGGTGCATGTGTCGCAAATCTGGAGGCAGTCATCTGGGCACATGTTGGTGAAACACGGTCTACTGGTTGATCCAGGTCGAAGCATGCTGACTGTACAGCTTCATGGTTCATTTCATTTGTAGGACATGACCGGGAATGCGGTCAGAACAGTTTATTTGTTGGATAAGGCGAGAGCAATACATTGACACGTTGTCAATTTCACCGGCAAATGACCCACTCCAAAAACAGAAGCTCTGTTTCACAAATGCTGTTACAAACTCTTAAACCAGATATGGTCGCTTCAGATCAGAAAAATACTGTTTTCCGGATAGCTGATGGAAAGGGGGAGGAAACTGGATCGTATTGAACGATCGAGTACCAAGACAGGAATTACGCTTGCATCAAACGGAAATTATAATTTCTTCGGATCGGTAGTAAATCATAGTATCAAGTTTGGATTAGCCATTCGATTGTGCAGATGCACCAGATACTCTTGATGGTCTTGAGGGAAGGTTTCTTACCTTCGGGGATCGTTACATCCTCACTAGTTGAATGCATTTTGAAGTCCCAAACTGAAGGGTCGCAATTCGAGTACTGACAGGGATACAAAAGGTACGCACTGCTGACGAATCCCAAACAGGACGAAGCAGCTGTCCAGTGTGCGATCATAGTGGATATCAGTCATTGAGGCTCGGAA